ACACGCTGTAATTTCATTATTATATCATTTAGATGATGGACAGAGTCCAAGGGAACAATTTTACAAATTATAGCGAACTATTCAGGAACTTGCAGACTTTGTGAGATTTGAGGTTCTCGCTATGCCGTCTTTGTATGTGTGTGTCCCCCTTTTAGTTTTTTGAACCAGTTGCAGAATTTTGTTAATTTGTGGACGTTATTCCATTTGAGGCCACGCTATCTACATACAAGTCCACACGGCCTTAAAACCCAGAAAACCGACACAGACATCTTTGCCTCGTGACGTCGCACGCCTAATTTATTTTACATTAAGAAAAAAATAAAGCCATACGTAAATACAAGTTGGTGAGTGTATCACAACAGCTGAAGGGCAAAGCAGTGCGACATACAGAACTGAAAATCGTTAGATTCTTAAATGCGTATAAAATTAAATCAACTGCAATCCCATGTACTCAATACACTTAAAATATGTTCATATTTCCTCTTAACCTGGCGATGTTGCATTTATGTGGTTGGTAATTTCTCCTGTAATTTAAGTATGATTATCCAAGATTTCAATAATTTTTATTTCAATATTCTTTCTGTTCAGCTTTGTCTTGTCTAAAAATAAACATCCTTTCTGGTAGCCCTGGCATCTCCCGATCATGAGACGTTGCTTAGCGAAATGGGTAATTAATTGAATGGAACACAAGAGAAGCAGTGATAGTGAAGCAGTGAAGAATACATATTTCAAAGTACAGTCTTTATTCGACAAAACTTTATTACCCAAATGGCCCAAAATAAACAAAACTGGTATCCGAATAGCTCCGACCGTTTTAATAAAACATACAGATATTTCACAGGCACGCGCGTAATTTTATACGACGTCGAAACAAACAAAATAAAGTAACTCATTTCAATTGCCTTATACATATCTGACAACTCTTAAATTATCAAATTCATAAAAAATGTTCTCTTTTTATGGCACGTTTCAAGACCCACAATACCATCTCCAAATAAATTACAAATATCAATTCATCAAGTTTAAATCATGTGTGGATCTTAGACGGAGACCGCACAAAGAAAGTCGATCTTGACACAAATATTCCTAAGCACAAAGAAAATGTTAATGTTAGAATGACTTATTCAAAAAACGGCGTGCTTGTACCTTAAAGTTTAAAGCGTGAAAATAATTGTGTAAACTGTTGATTCAAAAAATGACAAGTTTACGACTGCCAGAAAAATTTACGAATATGACAACAGCTGGCGCTACTGCGTACTCATGTATTCACTGCATGTAACAAAATGGTTTTCCAGGATAAGACTATTTTCGCCCCGTGCGTAAACCTTAGGCCCAGAAATGCGTAGTGCGGTCATAAAAAGTGGTTTTGTGCCGGAAATGTTGAAGAAAAAGAGATGTAGGAAAACTTGAAGCAGCAAGATTAAGATTTCTGTAACTTTTAATAGGTATTATAAGATTAGAGCAAAAAAAAATACATGTTCCAGACATTAGAGGAAATCTGAAGGGTACCGATAGAACTTGCTATACAGAATTAAGACGAGTAGAATACCAAAGCTGGCATCCACTCCTAATTTAATACCTGATACGCGTCACGCTTGTGCTTAAATAATAATAAAAATAATAACCGTTGCCATGGTAACATTGTTACGGCATTCTCGGCCGTATGGTTTGCATTACTTACCATAAAACCGTACTTACTACGTCTGGCAAAGAATTGTCATGACATCCCCCCCTCCAAGTGTGTGTAATTCTTTACGGTTATTAGCCACACTCGGCAGTTTATTAGTTTCGCTTGTGTCGAACGTCACAGGAAAATTATCGTAAGTGGTGAGTAGTCAAGGATATGGCAGGAGACTGTCCAAGACCTTCGTAGCTTGTTTCGACGAGGCGATCATGGGAACAGGGACCAAAACGCAAAAAATCTGCCCTGGGTTCGAGTCCCCGTGAAGGGGGTTTTTGTAGATCGAAAACCAGGCACGAAGGTAGAACAGCGATAAACATTTGCCAAATATCCCCGCAGTAACACTACGAGCATTCTGTTAATTACAATACAAACCATTTCGAAGAAAATATCCGGACCCCAAAGAAAATAGAGACCAAATGCATCTGGAAATTTAGTCACCGGTATTTAAACCCAATTCTGCATAGTTTATGACGACGACGATGGGCCTACAACTTTAATTCGTCGTTATAAAATTGTGAACCTGTGGTTAAGCATAACCTGCATACCTGTGCACACACATTAAAAACATTACAGAGAGTACTTAACCCAAAGCCACCTCTGTTTACATTAAGTACGTCGCCGGATCGTAAACACAGTACCTAGTTGTCTTTAGTTGCTGACTGTACTTGGAAGAAACTAGGCATGCCCATTACAGTTTGCATGTCAAACCTCTGAACAAGAACTTCTTAGCCCGAGCCCACCTTTACGATAAACCAACCTATAATCCAAGTTCGTCCCAAAAGAAATAACAATCTTGAGCAAGTTATACAAACAAGTTATTTTTTTATGAGACTGCCGTTGCATGTGTTCATTAAAATCCTCCCCCTAAGCTGCCTCACTTCATTACATTTTTCTGAACAGACCAGAACGTAAAAACGAGGAGCTGTTAGCACCACGTGCAATCAAACAGCGTCTTCCTCCATGCCCACCTAATTCCACGTTCATTCTAGATTCTCTTAAATCACAAGTCCTTTCATTCAACTTTTAATCTTTACTAATTAGAATGTTTGAAACTATTCGTCTTCATCTAGCTGTAAAAAAAGAAACTCGAAACAGTTCTGTTCACACTACAAACCAACTTACATTGGTTAACACTAATACTAACTCTATGATGCAGAATACTTCTTGGGAAGCTAACAACACGCCCAGCTAGTCAGGAAATTCCTCGCCATAGAAGTTCATTTAGTGTCCACGACAGCCCACCAATGGTCGCTATCTCATGTCACATGAATCCATTCCCCACACCCCAACCCTATTTTCATAAGATCCATCTCAGTATTATCCTCCACCTATACCTAGGCTAAATTTAAGATGCCTACCTGAATAGATCTTTATTTATCATCAAATTAAAACTACTACACTTTTGCACAAAAAAGTTACAACAAAAGCTGCATATCCTGTGATAACCTACCATTAGACAAAATGTGGTCTTACACGATTCACTCCCGCCACAGAAATGATGACAGTCTATTTGTATTATCAATGAAAGGAAAATAAAAACTATGAAACTGGGTAGTTGTTAATGACACGATGCCTATACCAAGTTTCATTACAATCCATCCATTGTAGGATTTGAGATTTTCAAGGCAGTGGAGACTGAAGATGGCTGTATTCTGGGTTGTTGCGCTGTGTAGTCTGGTCGATGTTTACCAACGTTTCAGAGGTCATTCTGCCTCCGTCATCAGAGTATGAAGATTTCCGTCTTCTGGGTTGTTCCGCTGTGTAGTCTGGTCGATGTTTACCAACGTTTCAGAGGTCATTCTGCCTCCGTCATCAGAGTATGAAGATTTCCGTCTTCTGGGTTGTTCCGCTGTGTAGTCTGGTCGATGTTTACCAACGTTTCAGAGGTCATTCTGCCTCCGTCATCAGAGTATGAAGATTTCCGTCTTCTGGGTTGTTCCGCTGTGTAGTCTGGTCGATGTTTACCAACGTTTCAGAGGTCATTCTGCCTCCGTCATCAGAGTATGAAGATTTCCGTCTTCTGGGTTGTTCCGCTGTGTAGTCTGGTCGATGTTTACCAACGTTTCAGAGGTCATTCTGCCTCCGTCATCAGAGTATGAAGATTTCCGTCTTCTGGGTTGTTCCGCTGTGTAGTCTGGTCGATGTTTACCAACGTTTCAGAGGTCATTCTGCCTCCGTCATCAGAGTATGAAGATTTCCGTCTTCTGGGTTGTTCCGCTGTGTAGTCTGGTCGATGTTTACCAACGTTTCAGAGGTCATTCTGCCTCCGTCATCAGAGTATGAAGATTTCCGTCTTCTGGGTTGTTCCGCTGTGTAGTCTGGTCGATGTTTACCAACGTTTCAGAGGTCATTCTGCCTCCGTCATCAGAGTATGAAGATTTCCGTCTTCTGGGTTGTTCCGCTGTGTAGTCTGGTCGATGTTTACCAACGTTTCAGAGGTCATTCTGCCTCCGTCATCAGAGTATGAAGATTTCCGTCTTCTGGGTTGTTCCGCTGTGTAGTCTGGTCGATGTTTACCAACGTTTCAGAGGTCATTCTGCCTCCGTCATCAGAGTATGAAGATTTCCGTCTTCTGGGTTGTTCCGCTGTGTAGTCTGGTCGATGTTTACCAACGTTTCAGAGGTCATTCTGCCTCCGTCATCAGAGTATGAAGATTTCCGTCTTCTGGGTTGTTGCACCGTGTAGTATCGCCCTGATGACGGAGGTAGTATGACCTCTGAAACGTTGGTTAGCATCGACCAGACTACACAGCGGAACAACCCAGAAGACAGAAATCTTCAACTCCGTGGTAGTAGTCTTATACGAAGAGATATTGTTATGCAACCCAAATATTTAGTCTCGAAAATGTTTTTCCAATAAAAATTATCAATGCACTTCTTGCTTCCCCCATTTAGCCCTTTCCAATCTCCTTAAATTAATCATTCTAACAATAATATGCACAATGGTTGTATCGACACACAGGACTTATTTTTAATCAGCTCCGCGGGAATATTTACACTTCCTGGCTATGTGTAAAGAGGCGTAATCTTGAAAACAGCAAAAACATTATTACATTTCGACGAAGACACATGATCTAAGAATCTGTCTGATTTATCCTACCTGTTAGATGGCTTCCAGTGAACTCAAAATCATCATCCTGGTCCCAGTGCTTCAGAGAAAGATTGGTAAGGGGTGTAGCATTAGCAAATTCCAGATTCGCAAAATGCCAGTCCAAAATTTGGCGATCCCGTGATGACAGATACACGTCGCTAAAATAATATTAAAAGTATATGAATACGCTAAACCAGAAGGTCCGATTAACTTTTAGACCAGCTAACAATTGTAGTCAGAAGTGAAAGGATGGTCACAGAATTACAGTTTTACTTATTTCGATCTTTAATGTTTTTTATATGACAGGAAAGTTTTTATTTTCTCCCCGTTCTTGCAACTTTCTACGTCAGGTTATCTTAATCTTCAGCTTCTTTTTGCTTCAGCATCAGACTCGACACAGGACAACAGCCAAAAAGTCTCTGACCGTTACCGTCTCCACATAACCATTATTTTTACATTTTTAGTATTCATTTTATTCGCAGTATTAAAACATAACATCAAGTAAGGGACTACTTCCTGAGGCAATGCAGAAACTAGGCAGACCCCAAAAAATTTGTAGCTGATCTAAAAATTAAAAGGATCTTAAAATTATGGTTTAAATTTAAACTAATCTTCTCACCACTACTTATTTATCTCATTTTGAGCAGATGATGACGGAATTTTAAAGCTTTAGAAGCTTCATGGCACCAGTATAAAAATTAACCAATGAAATACCATATCAGGTTCATTTCTGTTAATGATGAAATTCAGAAATATTAGCATACAAAAGAATCTGTCTCATTCTCATCACTCGAAAATACTGTTCTAGTGCGGACCAGTCGGCTTTCAGCCTCTTGGACATGCGTCACCCATCTGAACAATAACAGATAAGAAAAGTGCATTTCTTGTAAAGTGATGTCGGGCAGTGAGAAGCGTCCTTCGTCAAGTGCGTACAGTACCGATAGCAGCGTCTCTTTGATGAAGGACTCTCGGGCTACAAGCCGCATCAGGCGGTCAGAAGGCGAATAAACCATATCTTCTGCCAACGGCTTGTAGCTCCGAGAGTCTTTCATCAACTTCGGTCACCATGAAAGCCGCACTTTATACATTAGTATCTCTTTGTCTCTTCTACCAGAAATTTCATAATTTCAAGAAAAAACAGCATAAACACATCGTGCACTTTAAAGCATTTAAATGCTGATTCACTCCAGCTGAAAGGTTACACGAGAGATTAAAATACCTGTCTTAAAGATTAAATATGTGGCAAATATTTTTAATATAATAAAAGGATAAACTTTCTTCCTCTTCTTTATTACGCCGTCTCCTTTACAGGAGGTTGGCAACATTATGAACAGGATCGTTCCATCCCTTTCTTGGACTGGGACCTGTTCATATGTGTTTTTTAGGCAGGTGATTGTTGGGATGCCACGGAGAAACCAGGGAAGCCCCGGAGGAAAACTCCGTGTTGCCTAGACCACGGCCTTGCCCAACACAAGTTATAAATTTGGGCACCACCGGGAATCGAACCCGGGACCCCAGGATTATAAGGCCAGTGTTATAATCGCTAGACCACCGTGGCGGTCGGATAATTTTTTTAAAAAAAAAGGAAATAAATTTTTTTATCATTTTAATAGACTAGACATTTCTCACATGCACAATAAAATTAAAACTTTATTACAGAACTCTGATCAATCTGACATAATCCACTTTTGCATCTTGTATAAACTGGCCATTAATGCTCCATGCGTAAATATGGCATAATAAGTGACAAAGGAAAATAAAACAGAAAACCAGTAGCAATGTTAAGTCACCCTGCCCACAAACTGAGCAGAAAGAATTATAACAATAAAAAATCGCCAACTCAGCTGGTGCCATGAAGAAAGAAAAAAGAAAACGAAACAAGCAGAAACAATGTTCATGACGATATAAAGCGTTCATGTCATTTCACACATTCAAACCAGAGGACATTTTTGTAATACAACCACAACTTTAAAAAAGTCTTAAATTTTCAAGCACAAAGTGAAATTTAGATCCTACATGGACAAGCAGTACCACCACCTTCACCAGCATTAAATTACCATCAACTTCAATTTAAATATACAATAATTCTGCTGCTCTAAAAAATATGTTATTAATCTTCTCTTCACATTGGCGATACAACATTAAAGACGATTCTTTCTTTAAACATAAGCCTCCGACTTTACAACTTTGCGTTCTATGCGGGAGATGTTCATGCACCACTGAAACGGACGGAATTTTCAATTTCACAAACCTTGGCGGTGATGCTTCCAATTCTTGTAGTTTATCTTCAATTTCTTTCTGTTGTTCCGATAACTGATCCCATTCCTATGACAAACGATTAATTTCATTACAATATATTTCCAAGCGACTACTACGACCCACATCTCGTAAATGACGAATTCCCAACCCATTTCTTGTAATAATGGGTCACACTGTATAACAAAAAATAGTTACTTGCTATCAGAAGACAATTATTTTTAATTAAGTTATATGACGGGACATGGAGAAAACTGCATAATGACAAGCTTAAAAATCTGTACTGCTCCCCCAATATTGTCAGGGTGATTAAGTCGACAAGAAAGAGATGGGCGGGGCATGTGGCACGCATGGATGGGACAAGAGGTGTGCACCGGGTGTTGGTTGGGAAGCCTGAGGGGAAGAGACCTAGACGTAGATGGGAGGATAATGTCAGGCGGGATCTATGGGAGATAGGAGTTCCAAGACCATATTAGTGTTTTGTTACGAGTGGAAAACTTTGTATCTCGCATCAAGGGAAGAACACGTATTGCGGATATTTGGGAAGAGGGGGCCTAACATGGATGCAGTGGCAGGAGGCTGGAGATAACGAAGATCTTCATAATTTGTACTCTTCACCAAACATTAGAATAATCAAGGAGGACAAGATGTAATGAGTGCAGGGGGAGGTGGAAAATACATTATTCCAACAGCGACCTACTCCCATGGGTGGGCAAGCCCCTCGGGGGCATTCAGTGTTTCCAAAGTATTGGTAATGTAACCTGAGAAAGTTTCTAGCCCTGTGAGGGAAAGGCTCAGGAAGGAAAAAGCTACAGGGAGCTTGTGG